TTTACATTTATTTAGTGTGTGTGTGTGTGTGTGTGTGTGTGGCCAGCTCAGCCCACCTGGGGGCGGGGCTGACTGGCATGTGGTGCTGGGGGATCGAACCGTGGTCCCTGTGCTTTGCCAAGCTTGTTCCAAGTAGGTGCTTTAGACCAGTGAGCCATTTCTCCAGCCCAATTTGTTTGTTTCTTTATTATTTTTTTGAGACAGAGTCTCGTTATCCAACTCAGGCTGGCCTTGCGCTTACTTTATAGCCCAGGCTGGTCTGGAGCTCGCAACAGTCCTCCTGCCTCAGCCTCCGGGGTGCTGGGATTATACCACCATCTCCGGCCACATATTTTTTTAGTTAGTTAGTTAGTTAGTTAGTTAGTTAGTTAGTTAGTTAGTTAGTGGTCCGCTCGGCCCGCCCTAGGAGGGGGGCTGGTGCAGCATGTGGTGCCAGGAATCCAATCGCGGTCCCTGAGCTTACCTAAACTTGCCTAAGCAGATGCTTTAAACCGCTGTGCTATCTCGCCGCCAACCCCCCACCAACACTTTTTTTTTAATTCTCCCACATATTTTAAAAAGAAGGAAAGAAGGAATGCTTTCAAAGAACAGCTAAGTCAGCAACAGTAAACCTCTGATATAGACAGAACAGTTGGATATTAAAGAACAGAGAAAAGTTTTTAAACTTCTAAGAAATGAGGGCTGAAAGAAGAAAGCTATTTTATTTTTTTAATTTTTATTAGCACATTTGTAGCACATAATGATTTCATTTACTGTGGGGAGTTGGTACAGGTATATAACATATCTTAATTCTTTTTACTTCCTCTTCCCTTATCCACCTTCCTTTTTTTGAAACATGCACGCTCTTCTGTAACCCAGACTGGCCTAAATCTCCAGCTCCCTGTCCTGGCTCAGCCTTCCAGAGAATGAAAAAAGAAATAATGATAGCTGAAAGCCTTCTAAATATTGAAAACAAACAAGAAAATTTACATACACATTCACTACTCCAAAGAAAACTAAAGCAAAACATTGGAACAAATATTTATTTTAAGAAAATTTTGCTGTAATAAAAAAAAAGATTTGATGTGGAGGTCATTGCCCATACTCACAGATATGTGGGCGGCTGACGCTGGACAATAGAGAGTTCTTGGCACATTTCTTATATAACATTTGTGCAACAACTGGGGCAACCGTTATGGAAATCAGTGTGGAGACTCCTTAGAAAAGTTGGACTGGAAATCCCATTTAAACCAGCTATTCCTCTACTGGGAATTTT